AATTTTATTAAAGATCAATTTTCCCACCTTGTAGGGTTGTATACAGTTTTCCTGGATAAGTTATCTTTGGTTGTAAGCTTTTGTCTTTCACCTTTTGAAACAGAGTATTCAAGATAATCTCTTCTTTATGTTAGTAGCTACTAAGTTTTATATGATCCTGACTATGGTTCTTTGGTTCTTTAATTATTTCTTTCTGCATGCTTGCATTATTTTTTCTTTGACCTGGAAGCTATGGAATTTGGTTATGACATTTCTGAGAGTTTTCATTTTGGAATTCTTTTATAGGTGACTTAGATAATTTCTGTTTTCACTTTGTTGGTCCTAATAAATCTGGGAAGTTTTTATGCATGATTTCTTGAAATATGGCATTCACTAGTTCCACATACATCCACACCCTCTAACCTTTCTCATTTCCAGGGGGCTTCCATCCCTTGTGGGTGTTTTCGAGTTATTCCTATCCTCTCAGCACCTGGGATGTTAACTGGAGGGCAGTTTTTGGTGTGTTTTCTAAGAAACGTCTGAATTCTAGTTTAAAAAATTATAAAATGGGAATAATTTTTCAATATTTTTATTAATATTTTTATTAGAAAAACTTCTATGATTAATGAAATTAGTTGTGGTGTGTTTTGTGAAGGGTTTTTTTTTTATTACACCTTATTTTTAAGTTTAAATTTTCCCAAAAGATGTTTGGAGAAAACAATTATTGGAATGAGTCTCTATGCTTGTCACATGCAGATAAATCATAAAGAGTTCATATATATGTTGTTTAAAAAAAAAAAGACTGCTCCCTTCCCCTTCTGTACCTTTGCCCTCTCTACCTTCAGATGGTTGTGTTACTTTTGTTCCCTCACTTTGCTAAATTTCTATAGTTCAGTTGGTTTTACTTGAATGATTCATGTTTAGGGAAAAAAAATTTAAAGTCTGTTTTAACTCTTCCAACAAATAAAGAGAATACTCACTAGAAAAAAAAAATAAATATGGCATTCAGGATTATCTTTTTGGTCATGGTTTTCAGAAGATACGAGTATTCTTTTTTTTTTTTCTTAGGTTGATTCGTTTGGTTTTTGATTATTGTTGCATGTGATGATATCTCTAAAATAAGGGACTGTAATCCATGTGTCAATTGGTTTCTGACCCCTGAAAAAAGAAATCCAGATACAAAGTAGGAGAAGGGTATATAGCCTCACAAAATCTCTCTGGCCCATTTCTTTATTCTGGGAGATACTGGAACTCAATTATTTTAAAATTATCTTTTCTTGACCTATTTTTTCAGGCCAGTTGTTTATGATGTCTTACAATTTTTTTTTCAATTCATAATCTTTTGATTGTGGTCTATTTTTTTTTTTTGTCTCAAGGACTCACTGAATTCCCTTTGGTCTATTCTCATTTTCAGGAAATGCATTATTTGGATAAGCTTGTGTCTTTTGTTCTAAGCTATTTATTTTCTTTCTCTTTCCTCCAAAGTTCTTATTTTACTTATAATTCCCTTCAAAAATATCTTGTTTAATTTCTTCCAGGTACTTTCATAGTCTGTGACCAAGTCATCATTTTTCCTCTGTGATTCTGCTCATAGTTGTTGTGGAGTTATTCTCTTATTCTAGGCTTACCTTTTTGGTCTCTTCTGATTCATAATATTTTTCCATACTGTTCCATATGGCTGAAAATAACACATGAGACCTGTAATACCACTGCCTCTGAAGAACTAAAGATGAATGTTACATAGAAAGCAGAGGAAAGATTCATCGTTGGTGTGAGCAGGCTGCAATATAGAATCAAAGTGGAACTAAAGATTTTCATGAAAGAATTGTGTGACAGAGAGAGATGAGTCATGTGATGAGAGCAAAGTTTGACAGGTGGTTGGCCAAAGTATTCCACTGGTACCTTTGCAATACCAGGGGGTGGTGAAGAAGGCTTCTAGCACATTTGCTGGATCCCCTGTGCTGAAGGATATTGATGACAGTCACATGGGCATGCATGTATGGGTTCTGATCTGCATCATTTAAGGAACTTCAGAATCAAAGAGATCACAGATCCATTTGAATATTAATTATAGTGTTTGATATGTTCTTCTGTTTACTCATATCTCTTCAGTTCCTAGTTGTTGGGGGTTTTTTTTGGTTTGTTTTTTGTGACAGGGCCAAAACTTTCCAAGGGCCTCCCTGGTGTGGGCACTGCTTGGGGTTTTTTGCCTAGTCACCTGAATTCGTGCTGGCTTTTCTGAAGGGTTACCTGTTCTGGTACTTGTCATTTATGGCTGTCTTTTTGTATAGTCCTGGGCTGATTGAAGGAGCTTAATAATGTTTCTATTTGTATTTCTTTTGTTTGCTTTGCTTATTAACTAAGCCAGGTTGGGGAGCCTGTGGCCTAGGCCACATGTGGCCTCGAGGTGGCAGGTTTCCCATCCCTTAACTAAGTTCTATACATTTGTTTGGAGACATCTGAGGCTATGGAGTTTATCTCTGCCTCATCTTACTGGATATTACCTCTTATAGATTATTGGGCATCTATTTCTACTGTTCTTCTTATGCCTAGGTTGTATCTTATTGTCTGTGACATCTGGCTTGGTGGTAAATATCTAGGTAAGTGTATTTTCCCTGTTTCCTGTTAGATGCTGTCCGCACCTGACCCAGAGACTGTCATTCTTCTATCTTGGGTGTTCTTAACCTTTTTTGTGTGTGTTGAAATGCATGTGTCAAACACACACACACACACACACACACACACACACACACATTCACAGAACCCAAATAATGAACCTTTGCTTATCTTAAGCCCTAAGCCAGAAATCCAAATTCTGTTTTCCAGTACCAATTTTTTTTAGGCAACTGGGGTTAAGTGACTTGCCCAGGGTCACACAGCTAGTAAGTGTCAAGTGTCAGAGGCCCGATTTGAACTCAGGTCCTCCTGACTCTAGGGCTGGTGCTCTATCCACTGCACTACCTAGCTGTCCCCCAGTACCATTTTTTAAAAACAAGATGTTCACTTCCCTTATCCATCTTTATCTTCTGAAACCGCTACCAACAGTAGACAAATTCGCCAGTTTTACCTTAAAGGTTTCCAGTTTCTAGTGTAGGACTTTAAAATCCTTATAGATGCTCTAAAATTTCCTTCTCTTGGAATTATTTATTCCCACATGACTCTTGAGAAGTGGGTACTAGGTGTTAAGTCTGATAAGTCTCAGGAGGCTCTCTGTCACATCCTGAATTCACAACTCCAGCAGACAGAATAACTTTTGATGGTTTATGTCCTGTGGATGTATAGTTTCACCAGTAGGGAGCTGCCAACCATTAGGACTCATTTGTTCTTCCTGTATAAGTACTAGACATAGTGCATCTTGGAGGAATGTGTAGATTCCTATCACATTCCACTGAACTCGAGTCCAGTTTCACTTTGTGGAGAAAGTCCTTGGTCCTATCACATGACATCAACAGTTCAGTGATCCTTCTATCCTTTTAGTTCAATTCAATTGAATTAAAGGTTCTCTGCTAGGCATGGAGGAGACAAAGACAAAAAATGAAACCCTTCCTTATGTGTATCCCATTTTTCCATCCCTTCAACCTTCTATCACAGTCCTTTACCAGATTTGTTTTTTCCTTTATTTTCATTTGTAAGTATTTCTTCAATTCTTTTAAGGAATATTTCTTTCTGCCTAGTAAGCCAAAGAGGAGAGAATACATATTCCTTAAACCTTTTCACCTTTTCCTTTGGCAGAGATGCCAACCTACATTTTGTAAACATGCAGAGTTGTTACTTGGCTCTGGAAAACACAAACATAACCTTATCCCTGAAGGTTGCTGAAACAGTCATCTCTTCTTCTATACTTGCTTAAAACAAGGTCTTCATTTCTCTGTGCATTTTGCAGATAATTCTGACTGATAACTCTTGGGGGGATAAGGCTGAGGCTCTGGCAATGAGGATTCTTAAGTGAGACAGTTTCACAAATTCCTCCAATATAAGTTTGCATAATTATAGCACATCATTACTTTGGAATTACAGATCAATGCAATATAATCAATTCAACGTAATCTTGTAGACCAGTGGTGTCAAACTCAAATAGAAAGAGGGGCCATTAAGCCATACATAATGTGTGAAGGCCACACATTAAAAAATTACATATTAACAATTATGTTCTATTATTTTTTTTATCAGATATTTCCCAGTTACATTTTAATCTAGTTCAGGCCAACTCAGGACAACTGCATGTTCCATATCTCTATTGTAGACCAAGGGATGAAAAGGAATGAATAAGTTGTAATCTGCCTCAATAGAAGGAATACCCATATTTTTGAGATCACAGTTACTACAGAAATATTCAAGTGTTATAATATCACAATACTTCGGTATTCTAAGCACTTCAGTGTTATACATCTCCCTCAACTAAACCAAGCGATTTAATAAAACAAATCTACAAGGCTGATATTTTAAAAAGGCAATTAAAATGGACTTGCTTCCTTAAATAACCTAAGAAGTACAAAATTCCTGTCCATCAGTTAAAACAAGGTACCAAGAATTAGGTGTATCATTTTACTGCATTGGTTTGCAATAGCTTTAATTTAATTTAAACTTCAGTTTCTCTTTCAGTGAATTTGGGATAAATTCTAGTTCCCCTCTGAAAGCATTGCAAAGAAGCCTTCTCTTGCCTGCCACTCCTAGAAACACTTTTTATGCTGTGCCCTCCTTTGTGTGTCCCTAAGCACTTCAGTTGCTGCCTGGAGGATGCTTTACAATATACCGAAAGACTCGTTGCAGGGGAATCCATTGTGGAAAGTCAGGATTGCAAGTCATATGCTCTGCAGCTCAGCCTCATCAGTACATTAGGGAAATAAAACTGTCAGCAAGATCATCTTTGAACACAAAAAGCAGTGGGATGGTTAGAAACTCAAAGGAATGCCCAGGGGCTGAAAACACTGTGCTTAGCATTAATTAACTGGGAGAGGGCGATGACAGGTGCTATAGAAGTGAACATTCTTGTTATTAATGTTAATTTTTTTATATTAACGGAGGGAAGAATTCTGGACCTGTTGTTTCATAATTAATTTTCATGCAAGTTCTGTGTGTCCTAGATGTCCCCTAAAGGTAAGCTGCAGGGATCGATTTGTTTGACATTTGATTTTTTCCTCTAGAGTCTCCTGACTGTAGCTATGCACGTATGGCTACAGTCTTATTTGTGACCTGCCTGTTGCCTGTGTGGTTCCTTTATATTATATTGTGTAGCCAGTATGCAATTGTTTGTAGGTGATGAACTTATGGACATTAGTAGGTAGCTTTTTGGAAAATTTAAGGTCATTGAAAGAATTTCAGGAAATTGATTGCAATTAATAGAAATCAAGAGTTGATCCAAGAGTAGATCAGTGTTACATTCACTAGAATGTAAGCTCTCTGAAGGCAGGAACTATTTTGGTTTTGTCACTAACACAGTGCCTTGCACACAGTAGGTATTTCATAAATGCTTAGTGAATTGAACTGATTTCCCTTTTATTAAAGAATTGGTTATTGTGTGAGTTGTGCTTATTGCACAAGTGAAGAAATTACGTTGCCTTTTGTGATGCCAGGTTTTGGGAAATGAATTCTAGCAGGGTAAAATTTTATACCTTACGTGAAATTGTTTACTTACTAATTTTTAGTCTAAGCTTGTTCATGCAAATTGCCCTATAGATTCAGTGTGGGAAATGACTTCAGAAATCATCTAATCCAATCCTTTTATTTTATCAGTCAGTGCAGACCCAGGGAGAAGTGATTTGTTCAAGGTCAACTGGCTAGCAAATGTCAGAAGTAGGACAGAAACTAGATTTTGGGGTATTTGGTGCAGTGTTCTTTCTCCCACTTCATACTGCCTCATAACTGACAAATCCCTCGATGGGAGCACGTAGGGCTAGAATGTTGATGCTAGCCCCAAGCCTGAGAAACTTGGATTATAAAAAAGCTTTTCTCACTATAACCAGATTTTCAGGTAAGAACTGAACTGTCAGACTTCATCATAAGTACCAATATTGCTCAATCAAGTGAAAGTGGTCTTTGTCACAGAGAAACAAAGCTTCCCTTAGAATACAGGGCTCTCTTTGAAAACTGAGGTAGGCTTTTCTGAACCACAACTTGCCAGACAAATGAGGTATGGAGAGTATCAGGCAGTAGGAAATCATTATGAAAGCAATCACTCTTTCCCAACCCACTTCTGAATGTGAATTTCCACTAGGTTCACTATGCTTCTCCTACTTTCTCCCACATTAATTCCTCACTTTATCATAAAATATTTATTGATTTTTAAGAAAATATGCAAAGCATGGTGATAGATACTGGACTGGATTTAAAGGTAAAAAAGACTCTTCCTTAAGGAAGTTGCTTTCTTGTTGTGGAGGCAATATATATCTATTCAATGGATCTATGATTTCATCGATGTGATAGTTCCTCCCATTCCCTAATGGCACTTTTAGCTCCTAAACCCTCCATCTTCTCATTCTGGGAGACCTATTCATTGCCTTCCATATATCCTCCATAGAAGATCCATCCAACATACTGGGAATTTTCCTCTAGGTCTTTTAGCATTGTGAGAGTACAGGTATGGGATTTAAGCTACACACCTATTATTCCTCACTCTTCCTACATGCTTATTTATCTCTTTTCTGATCCAGCTGTACCAGGATTATTATCTTTTAAAACACTTCAGTTGAATTCTATTCATCAAGCACTAATTAAATGAAGGGATAAATAAAAGAAATAGCATCTATTGCTTGCGTACTGTTTGCTGGGCACTATAATAAGGGCTCTGGATATAGATGCAAAAATGAAACAGTCCCTGCTCTCAAAAAGCTTCCACTTGAAGAGGGAGAAACAACACACATAGGGGAGTTGTTTTTAATAGAGAAGGTTGTTTTCAATGATTGAAACAGTCTCTCCAGAAACAATGGTAGTATTGATTTGATTTTAGTTCCCAAAGGAAGAGGTGGAAAATGATGGGGGCAAGGGAGGGTAGAAGCAATGCCTCGAAAAGTGCAGAACTGAGTGGTTTTACTAATTCAGAGCATGGCTGCTGGGGTTTTGAAGGTGAGGCATCAGCCTGAAAGCAAAGTATTGTGGTCTGGGTGAAGAAACATGGTCCAAGTGCCTATCATGTATCTAACACTGAGCTATGTATAAGGCTTACAAATGCAAAGCAATCCTTGTCTTCAAGCAGCCTACACAGTACTGGGAAAATGACAATTACACTGATATGTAAATACAAAATACGTAGGTGGAGGAGGGGCAGAGATCAACATCTGGGTGTGAGTGGGATCAGGAAAGGTGTCAATGTGCCTCAATGAGCACTGAAGGAATCTAAGGATCATGATGTGGAGGTATGGAGAAAAGGCATTCTGGACCAGGAGCAGTCTTTGCAAAGGTGAAAGATTAAAATTTTATGCATGATCATAACAAGATAGCTGGAATAGAGAGCTGTGTTTTTCTCTTCTGGATTTTTCTCTTCTTACTTTTTAGTCAACCAACAGTAAGCAGAGTGTGATCTTGAATTCTCTGTACCTTTCAGCCAATTAGGTTGCTATAAAGATGTCTGCTATGTTGAAGACTATATGGAAGGCAATGGATAAGTTCTCCCAGAACGAGAAGGCATGGATGGTTTGGGAGCTAAATGTGCCATTAGGGAATGGGGAGGCTATCAATGAAATCATATATCCATTGAATGGAAGTATATTGCCTCTGCAACAAGAAAACAACTTCCTTAAGGGAAGAGTCTTTTTCATTTTTATATCCAGTATACTATCTATCACCATGCTTTGCACATAGTCTTAGAAATCAATAAGTATTTTATGATTAAGTGAGGAATTAATTATGTGAAGTCAGTCTGGAAAGACTGGTTGGAACCAGATTGTGAAGGACTTTAAATTTCAAATGGCATATCTTATGCTTTGTTCTAGAGGCAATAGGGAGCCACTAACTTCCTGAGGGGGGTGAGAAGAAGGTCTGTGCTTTAGAAAAATCATTTTGCATACTTCTTGTCTGTAAATCACTGTTGGTAATATACTGTAGGGTGTTTAACTTCATTATGTGTTCTACGGCTAGGATGTATGTACTGGTATCCTACAACTGAATGTGGTGCCTATCCAACTGCTATATTATGGTCTGGAAAATAAACTTTCTTTATCCACTTGGTTTTTCCTTTGTGTATTGTGCATTGCTAGGATAAATTCTTTAGACTCATTGTGAATATCACTGAGGAAGCTACATCTAGTATCCTGGAGTTTAGTCAGTCAGCACAATATCAGCCATCTGGATGACCTTACCATCTATAGAGAATCCTTCTTCTGTTTGTTTTTATGTTGCATAGCATCCGTGACAGAAGCAACCACTTTTGATAAACAAGCATCTGTTATCCCTGTTTTGTATTACACTAATAATCAAATGATCAAAGGAGGAACAAACGTTTTTCTGAAGTTGAATCTATCAAGGAATCTTGGATGATCTTAATGTATACTCTGGAAGGCAACTTGTTGGAAGGGGGCCTTTGAGGCTGCATTTTTTTCTCTTCTGAATCAAGTGCATTTTTAGTCAACCAACAATAAATAGAGTATGATCTTGAATTCTCTGTACCTTTCAACTAATTATGTTGTTATAAAGATGTTTGCTATGGTATATCTTTTACATAAAGCCTTCTTGCTTCTTTTTTTATATTTCCATCTAAGATACCTTGATACCTTATTCTCATAAGGATTTTATAGAGATGAGGACTTAAGTCTGTGGAGCATTAGTTATTGACAATCTCTTGATTGACTTTTTTCAGTGACAATTCCATCTGCCACCCAATCCCCTTGGAACCCCCCTCCCTCCAACACTCAGTATCTTCCCCAATTTCAGTAATTTTGAGAATCAATCCTCCAGCATGGCTTTCCTGTATGTGTATTTTATATTGTCCAGCTTTTCTTCCTATGACCAAAAATGTATGAACAAGTGAAAATAACAGTGGAAGGTATAATTGTTCAATATAACAATTTCAGAAATGAAACAGCAGTCCACGATTAAACGTCAAATGATTGTATCAGGTAAGCTGTCATGTATGAGTTCAGAGAAGGGTGATACTTATGAGCTGAGTCTGGAAAGGGCTGATAGAAAGATTCGACATTTCTTTGATGGATGGGGAAGATTGTAGGTAAGAGGTAAGAGGATAACAGGAAGAGAGGGAAGAAGAGAGAGAAAATATATTCATGATGTGTGAGGGGAATAAGGAATACATTGTTTTGGCAGGAGTAGAGGTTTCAGGGAAGGTAAGTCAGTCCATCAGTTAATAAGCATTTATTAAGCACCTACTATGTGCCGGGAACTGTACTAAATGCTGAGATGAAAAGAAAGGCAAAAGGCAGTCAATGCTTTCAAGAAGCTCACAGTCTAATGGGGGAGACAACATGAAAACAGCTATGCACGAACAAGATATAAACAAGATAAATGGGAATTAGTCAGTAGAGGGAAAGCACTAACTAGCGTTAGGGGAATCAGGAAAAGCTTCTCATAGAAGATGAGATTTTAGCCTGGATATAAAGGCAATCAGGGAAGCCAAGAAGAGGAGATGAGGGAGAGTATTGCAGTGGAAAGGCTGGGAATCTGGAGATGAAGTATATTGTTTGAGAAATAGCATGGGGGCCAGCGTCACTGGATCACAGAGACGTGATAGATCATAGAGACATGGCAGGATGGGTGATGTAAAGTCTAAGGAGATTGTAAAGATAGGAGAGGGTCAGGTTACAAAGGGCTTTGAATGCCCATCAGAGGATTTTATATTTAATTCTGGAGCCGTAAAGGAGCCATTGAAATGTATTGGATAGGGGTGTGACATGATTGATCTTCACTTTAGGAAGATCACTTTGACAACTGCGTAACAAATAGACAGAATTGTGGAGACACTTGAGGCAGGCAGATGAGTCAGCAAGGTAATGTAATAGTCTGGATGTATTTGAACTCAAAAGATAACTTGTGGCAAAATGATAAAATGTGTTGAGTGAATGAACAAGTTTATATAGGGATCATAAAATCATAATTCTAGAGCTTGAAGGGACCTCAGATACCATCCAGTCCAAATTTGTCATTTTACAGAT